TTTTACTTGAAAATATTTGTTGAATTTTCAATTTACAAAATCTGTATCGATATCGAATCAAACCGCAAACCTCAGCAAACACAACAAGAGCAAAAAATAATTAAAATTACCCCAAACCATTTTAAAACGAAACTAAAATTATAATGGAAAACCAACATACGAAACCGCACATTATTTTAATCAACAATAATAACATTTATCGAAAGACGAAATAAAAAAAAATACACAATCACCTAATTGATACTGTTTCATATTCATTTTGAATAAATAACCAACCAATGTACCGTGTTGTTTTTACATAAAATCAATACTTCGTTCCCGGACGAACCAGAACATTGTAAATTATTCAAATATTCAAACTTGAAAACTGATCGATTCATGTCCTAAAGACTGTTTCTGTTGAGAATCAACTGGTTTCAATCAAAGAGGATTAATAGTAACTTGCTGACGACAGACAAACGTACAGTCTAGTATTTGATTTCATTTACTTACTTGACTGACTCGTTAGTCAAATGATTACTATAACTGTGAGGTCTTAGTGAGCGTATAACTTTCTTCAAAAATATCAAAGACTTTTAAAATGTTACCAATTATGTTTCTCAATGTTGATGTTGTATGAAAATGATCATGTGTCATCTCATCTTCTAAGCAATATTACATGCGTACCACAGATTATGGCATTAACATACCATAGTTGACAACCAGGCTCCATCAATCAAGCCAAGGAGAACATAAAGCCGTCTGCACTCGGTTATCATACGCATGTAATTAGAAACAGCAAGAAGACTTGTTAAGTACCTCAAAATTCAATGCAACTAAATGTAACAGATATTAAACATTAGAATAAGTAGTCACATTTAACTAAATCCACTCAAAACTGTGAAAAAAAAATAGCAAAACCGAAGTAATACATCAATCAAACTATTTTATAAACAACGCATTGCTCTAATCACCACAACCTTAAGGTTAAACACTAAACAGACTATTACTAGTCTGCTTAGTGCTCGAGCGTATCTAGATGTATCAAGAGGAAAGCAACAGTCTTAAAAACAACTATCAAACTGGATAAACGATGACTTGAACTCTCAAATTATCTAACCATAGCCGCTTAATTAATAGAGATCTTGTTTGATTAAATCTTAGCTCCTCTTCATTAGACCTAAAAATGTCCTAAAACCTCTAGCTAAGAGAATATCTGAGAAAATTCAAAATGATATAATCTAAACTTGATGTATTTATTTCCAAGACGCAGAAGCAATAAAACTGTATCTCCAACGCGTCGTTAAGTAAAACGCTTCCCAAAAATCTAAAAAGAAAATTCAGATTCAGGTCCAGCGAGATCGTAACTATCAAAAGAAATTCGAAAATGAGAGCGCTAAGGGTAACTTTGAACATTTTTGCTACTCAATTTTGAACTCTAATTTCAAGGTACTAAAGATAAATTATTTTTAGAGGGAGATGTAGAATAATATAGGTGTAATGTGTCGCATTTAAATTCGTCTGACGATTCTGGGTCTATGTTAAAACTGATTGCTATGAGAAAATTTACTAAAGGTGATAGTGCTGAAGAAGAGTGTTATGGTTCACTCAGGGCTTATAGAGAACTTATAGAAAATCTATACTAATATTATAAAGAGGAAAGATTTGTACCTATTTTTTATGTTTGTAATGAATAGGCTCAAAAAGTACTGGGCCGATTTAAAAAATTCTTTCACCAATAGAATGCTACATTCTTCCAATTTGACATAGGCTACATTTCATTTTGAAAAAAATTAGGGATCCTTGGTAAAATTTGAACAATGTAATCGAAGGTGTAGAAAAATGTGTCTTAAAATGTCTTTCGTCGAATGCGCTGCCGAAACTATTAGCGATAGAACAAAATAATGTACAACAATATTGAAGAACATATGTCCAACTATTGTAGTTATGTCTACATCAATCCAAATTTCCAAAAATAAATAATTGTCTACTTGAACCTGTAATGAAGGTTTATTTGATTAAGATCTTGTGTGGACCTATAGACACTCGGAAAATATTCTATGTGGATCGGCTGTTTTATTAATAAATCCATTCCTCAAACTATATCCAAACCACTTCATTCACTTCTTCCTTAAGCTCTAAATTCCGTTGTTTCTATGAATTCTTACAACTCGTTAATTTTAATCTGAAAAGTATGTGATATGGATCACCCACGATATAAGGTTTTTACAAAAACCTGTTAAGCTAAATACTTCAACATGTAAAAGAAATCCCTCTTTAAAAAAGAATTTTATGATTAATTGTTTTGTTAAGATGTTACTAAAATGGTTCACGTTTTAATTAGTTCAGATATCCTTTAATTTATATTAAAAGAAAGTCGTGTTCGTTATACTATTTATAACTCAAGAACGGCTAGATTGATTTGGATGAAAATTGGAAGGGAGGTAACTTAGAACCAGTAGACGGGTATGGGATACTAAAATGATTTAAGGATTTTCCGAAAATCCTACGACATCGGGGTAAAACGGGATTACGCGTATAAAGTGGCGGGCAGAAGTTAGATTTAGATAAATAACCTTGACGTAAACGGGTTAAGTAGAGGTAAATGGATTAGTTTGTCCCATGTGTGAAGCAGACTATCCCCTTGTTTTGATTAATATATAGATCTTATTCCATAACAAACTTACCTTTTAAAATATCCATTCCATCAATATCTATTCTCATCTAGAATTAAACGATCAGTTAAGCCGAAAATTCAACCTAAAAATATTTTTTTTTTGAATTATTTGAATCTATAAAGATTCAAATAATTCAAAGTGTGCAAACGTCTAAACACAAGTTCCCATACGATATCAAGGACGGGTAGCTGCAAAAATACTTTCCTCGCTCAGTAACAAGAAGCAAAATAGAATTGAATACATCTACAATAGATCCCTTCCGTCGGCCCTTAGTTCTGCCTACCCACGGAGAAAAGGTTGATCAACAATAAAGCAGTAATATGAATTCTGAAAGCGTTATCTAATGAACCTTCGGCTTTGTTATAAAAATCGAAACATTTTGTTCCATTGCGCAATTTATGCGACGTGGCGTCATTAGCAAACTAAAACGAATTTCGCATAATTAGAGGCTCGATCGGATGTCTGCTTTTAATCGATTTTATGCAACCTACCCTTGATGAAAAAGTAAATTAATGTTCATTAAATTATTCTAAAAACCTTTGGCCTGCGGAAAGCGGAAAATTTTGATCAAAAGGCCGGGAATTTACAAGAGACTTGTGTAATTTAGAGCTCATTTTTTTCGAAATTTAATGTGGAATAACTATAACACAATTGTTTTGTTAAATTTAGTTTCGTTTTACCCTAAAATAACTGTATTAAAAGTAATTCTTACCAGTTTCAAGTCTGAATAGGTAAAAGAGTTTGCATAGTTATGAACTGAACCCTATTATGCAGGTCTTAAGATTTAAATCTACTTATTGATTGACCTTAAACCTATACATGATTGTAATGCAATTAAACCTAACTAAAAATAGTTTTACTCTCATTATGATTCCCAAATCAGCGTGCAATGATTCGTTACCAAGTATTAAAAAAAGTTATAATGATAAGTTAATATCTTTCTTAAATCGTATACCAATAGCATTCAGAATAGCATAATCAGTAGATATATACAATGGGCGACATAGCAATTGTAAAAGTTCACAATCATGCGTCCTCAATTTTCCTGTATGACGGCATTAGTCCCAGCACTGAGCTAACTTGCCACTCCCACATATCAAAGTAAAACTTTTTCAAATCCGCTAATTGAAAAATTACTGGCTTTTAGTTTGCATGCATAGTAATCAGTTTTACGCTATTCAATTTGAAACACTATATTTTGAACGAAAAGGTCAAAGTTCATTTAGCAAAATTTGTGAACATTGTAGGTTTTTCTTTGCGCTTTCATTTATTTGGGGTAGAAACTATATTACAGTTGTTATTTGTTTTTTAAATGGCTGTCAATATTTAGAGGTGGTAACTTTTAATAGCTTCTCATCACATTTCTTATTGTACATCTTCTTTTCTATGAGTTATTTAGTAAATTTGGGATTGCAATATAGACAAACTATTACAACAAGAGATTTGGTCTTCGTATTTCTCTGAATACTATATTTATTGTTATGTTAGGACAGTTGTACTAACTGAAGCCGAACTACTACAAACCTGGCTCAAATACCGATAGTCCTTGCTAGAACATGATGTATTTTTAATCATAATTTATATATTACATCGCACGTAACTGTTACCGACCGAATATTCTAAGTAAAGTATGTTATTAATATTATAAAGGGTTATTCCCATCATTTATTCATAAAGGTCAGCGTTCTGATACAGAGCAGTGATTGTTATTATTAAATTGTGTACGGCAATTAATGGCTATAAAATATAATGACTTTCTATTTATGGGAACTGAAAAAAATATTTAGTAATAGGTACTGTAAATCGGTTTGACGATTCACGTTTGATTTTATGATGAAAGCAAGGTCATTAAATCCGACGGCGTGCGTTGATTACCTCATAATGTGTTAATTAAGTACATTTTTAATTGGATGGTAATTAATTTATTATGTACAGCCTGAATTATATATGAAAACCAATTGACCGCTACCGCCAACCAAATTGTAAAATAATACAGCACATTCACATATTAATTAAGTTTCAGATCCATTTTGAATAAAAAATGTCGTTAATTATTATTCATAACGCACGATCGGCGGTGCAATCTCTCCATGCATGTTGAATTTAACATTTAACAACACGGTTCAAGTCAAAACGTATCGAACCCAACCGCCACGATTCATCCGCACACTGCATGAACGTGGTCTCCTAATGAGGACATTAATTTATTGGGCACGTTCCGGCTCCGAATTAAATACCCTATGATTAATTAACCACAGATCCATAGACCGGGTCCACCATGTGACTCAATCGTACCAATCCTGTTACTATGCTAATTTTATTGCAGAAAACACCACTACTTACCGGCGGTACCTATGCAACGTAACCACACGAACTCGCACCCAACTCACTTACTTAGTCGCACGCAAGCACTTAATCACAAGTCACAAACATTTGTTCACAATCATCGATATGGTCATTTCCACGCATGTGCTGACACTGAAACACGTCACAGACACTATATAGGGTCACCAGTTCTGTTTTTCGGGGTGCGACGCGTACAGGCGCTCTCCGGGTCGTCGCAGCCTCTACTGGCTGGGGCGACGCTACCGCGCGTGCCTAGCCCCTCAACCCTCACCCCTCCTCGTTTACCTCGCAGTACAGGCAAATAGAAATAAAGTATGCGCTGTAAGGACAGTACGTGGAAGAAAAAACGGATCTAGATGCCTGCAGGCGAGTTAGTTAGATCGGGACGTTTCAAAGACTCGATCGAGCTCCCCTGATTCGCAACTCGCGAGCTTGTTATCATTGCACGGCTTCAATATTCGAAATGATAGTGATTTTCTTCATGTTATTTTCTAGTTTCATTTTTATCGCAATGCGCAGCTAAGATTTATAGTACTTTAAATACGTAACTACAGTTTTGAATGAATATTTTGACAAAACGTGTTTATATAGCTGTTTGTATTAAATTAGATTTACCATTTCTTGTGCTATGAACATTTCTGCTTTTGTATTGACTTGTTCACAAAAAAATTTTCCTGGTATCTATTTTAAAACGAAATCCGTAATATATTTCGATTTCATATAACATTGTGATTGGATTTTAGTTTTAAATGATAGTTTGGTTTAATTAATCCTAAACATTTTGTGATTCCAAATTCCTTGATTACTTCCTGATTAACCTGGTCTAGTTTACTTCTGAGTAAGTCACATTTACATTTCTAGAATTTGTTCAGTAATATCAACCTAGTTTTACGAATTACATGTCATTATTTTAAGTAACGTATTCATTACGTGTAACCATTTGCAATGAAACCGTAACGATACTCCAGTTACGTACGATACTTAAACGATAATCTGACTTGATATTTTTATCGCATTCCCAAGCTAAAATCACCCTCATTTCCCTAGAAAAAAGAGTGAGTATTGCATAATAGTTGAAGTTATGATGTTTATATAACAGTATATGGCACAAAATAAAAGCCTCGAACATTACAGCGTAAAAACACCATAAACACACATAAAAATAAAACTGAATCACAAATCATTTTGAACCTTGTATCTGTCAACATGGCTACCCTTTCACGATAAGAATGTCAGTAACAAATTCTCATCATTCTAAAATATACAAGTGAGAATTTTTCTTACATATACTACGTAAAGTACCTATACATTTCTCTCCGTTCTCAGTTGACACCTGCGTTCGAAGAAAGACATATTGGAATTCATAAAGGCGCCATTTTCTTGCGATTTTCTTAACAAAAATGATACATCTGTATTGTTGTTGTGTAATTTAACTTTTTTCGCACATGTGAATTTTTCTAAATATCTTTCCGAGATATCACTTGATGATTTTTTCATGAAACAAAGTATATTTTTCTCTTCTTTCTTTTCTCTTGTAAGTACTTATAAATAAGTATTTTAATTTTGCATAATTCCCTAACTAGCTATATTCACAAATAATATTTTAACATTTTTAAATGGTACAAAATAAATACATGAAATTCTCTTCTCACGTGATAGACTCAAAGCTTAAAATAATTCGCTAACGTATTCCATCCCTTTCTTTTATACTAAGATTAAGGGTTTAAGGACATGCGCGCTCTTTCATACTGGCGTATGTTTTGTTTTTACAATATTACAGTTGATTACTGATACATAAAAAGTGTTCAGTACAATGATTGATGAAGTTTTGTGATATTTATCTCAGTATATGAGAGGTATGATGAAAGAACGAAAATAAAACATATTTCCATTAAAAGAGATTCGTTACTTACATTCTAAGAGATAATATGAACAGAGATGTTTAATGCAGTAATTTTTCATTGTCGTATGTACCTAATTATTGCGCTATTACCACTAGTGTAAGTTTGCTCGACAAATTATGTTGTCTTGTCAGTCAAAACTAAAAAAAAAATAGAAGCTTGTTTAAAGATAAGACCGTATGTGACGAGACATGTTTTTTATACATTTACATAATTGGTTGTACTTCAATGCTCAAAACCTAAGATACTTTCGAACACATGTGTATGGGTTGAATAATAAGTAACAGTTCTGAACACACCAGTATACATTTAACCATATTTTGTATTATTGTTTGTATCACTGTATTTATCTTTATCATTTTTATCAAGTAAGCAGTAACGTAACACTCTCAAACTAACTGCGTAACCACGTTAAGCCTTTCCTTTTTTTCATTAACAAATGACAATCGCCTGCCTTAGAGTGCGTCCATATCTGGCGAATGTGGCGCTCGCGAAGCGTTTGCGAGCTGCCCGCAAGTTGCGCGAGTGCAGTCACGGCAAAGGTTTGGTGCTGAACTCATACAAAGTTCGTATACATTTTAAATGCACGTGCGCAGGGTGGCTCGCGAGCTGTGCATTTGCGGAGCATTCACTAGATGTGGATCCACCCTGATATTATCTTCAATCAAATATAGTCTTAACTTTTTAATAACCTCGCTATATTTATTAGCAAATTTATAGAACTTTCCTAACATTATGTTCGGTAGTATCGATCTGCGAAACCAATTTCACATAAACTTGTTTTGTAACCTTTCATTTTAACATTGACCTTGAAACTGTATTGAATACTTGCGCAGGTTGATTCTGAGTAGGCGCTGCTTTAGGTAGATGAAACACCTTTAAGCAACAGTTGGGATACATTAATGTTGCTATATATAAAAGCTGTTTAAGTATCTAATAATTTAAGCTTAAATACTTTGGCACGATTGGGCCGGTTCGACCAGTGATACTACGCCCTCACTGAAAACTGACGTGAAACAACGCTTTCGTGGAGTTTCGTCGTGTGAGTTAATTTACTAGAGGCTTAATTACCCTCTTCCCACTTCTCCAACCTCCTTGAATCCCGAACAATCCCGAAATTCCCAATCCCTAAAAGGCCGGTAATGCTTTTGTGATGGCTCTTGTATTCCAGGTGTCCATGGATGACGCCGATTACTTACCATCAGGAAATTCGTCTTATATACCGGTTTATCCGATTTAAAAAATGGGCAATCTATATTTTATTGGTCCCATACTTCACTCGCATCTTCTAACATGAGGTTCTTCACACAATTTTACATGTACACATATATAAAATCACGCTCTTATTCCATGGGGATAAGCTGAAACTAAAGAGTCACATACTGTGATCTCTATATTAATTTAATTACATTCATTCATCTGATTATAGAAGCTCGCTGGTTAAGAGTTAACAAGATTAACTTTGTTTAACTATTTCTAAATTCAACGGTATATAAACGTTGTACAGAGCATAATAGAGGCTTAATGTCAAATAGAGATACCATTTTTAGTAGTATTAGTTACCACCTAAACCGGATAATAGAATATTAATCTCTTTCATTTACTCTTTCTAATGTAGTGATCACAATCTTAACTGAAGGGACAGGGGGAGCTACTGGGCAGATCACATGGAACAGATAGTATAAAAACTATAGTGGTTCTTTGGTATATCGCATCGTAACCTATTGGAAAAAAGAATGTACACATTACTGCTGTTAAAACGTTACAGTAAGACAAATTGTCAAATAGTGTAAAACGTAGTTCTTGGAATTATTTGATTAAAGCCTAGGGTTTCGTCGAAAGCCTAATTAAGATTGTTGGCTGCTACAAACAAAATCAATTATAGCAGTGTTGTCCGTTTATACTAGTCTTATTTTGTTCTCATCTATTTGCTACCCTTAAAAGAATTAATTTATTGTAACCAATTGAGGGTTAGAAAACTTAATTTAGACCTGGAGAACTGCGGACTTCTGTGTTTTCATTTACGTGTACTGTTTTGTTCTAAAATACAATTAAGCCCACGTTTCCGATTCTAACTTACTTACGTTACTCAATAATTGCGTCAACATTTTTCAAAAGAAATGCCTTGAAATTCGAAGTCGACTATAATTTTACGACTCCTAGTTTCCATATTTATTGCTCCAGTTGTTAGCCAACGAATTCACTGTATACTTGTAATGCCTAACTTATTTCTGGTTGAGTAGAGAAAACAGCTTGCCAATAATAATTTACGTTCAGATCACAGACTTAAACCGTGTTTAATAATAATATTGTTTGCTTACGCTGAATACAGAATATTGGACTGTCTCCAGCGAGCAATTTATACGTATTACGTACTAAACTGACATGACAAAGGATATTTGAAACGTAGAATACTGAAGAACCTTTTCATGGATCCATCTCTACAGTTATTCAAAGCTAAATAATGCTACGTACAATATTATTTATTTAATGTCTACGAGGCGTAGCACATTTGCTACGATGATGCTACGCCGCCACAAAGAATCGTAGGCGTGTTAGTAATTTGTAGTAGACAGAAATTAAGTAAATTTCTAGTAGACACCGACACATTATACACGAATATTACAAGCAAAGAAGTAAAATACTGTCTTATCGTCATTTAAAAACATATTTTATGGAGTTGTAGAGTTTGACTATAATTATTGGTTTTTATGTTTTATTGTATGACTACATATAAATAGCAAGCAAAAAATGGATATTACAACTTTGTCCTCGAATGACAACAATCATAAAGAAGAGATAAACCTTATTCCTGATGAAAACGGAATGCCTTCAACATTCCCATAAATATGTAACACATCAAAAGACCTACAAACCCACATAATTTCATCACTTAAATTCATAGGGATCCCCATATTTACCCCATCGTTCTAAGCAAAAGAAAACGATTCTTTTATCCCTCAAAGATATCTCGAAGACTCGAATAAGCTTTGAAAATAAATGTAAAGGCATACATTTCTGTCTCATACCGTGCTAATGTGATTACGTGGGGGCACGAAACGTATCTCACTTTTTCCCCGAAAGTGCTAACGAGCCCCTTAAGGAGGGGTGTAAATTAACTAAAAGAACATCTTTCACCCAACCATAGTTAGGATGAGCAAAAATATTTGTTGTTTTTCCCACAAAGGGTTACGTGATCTACATAATTGCATTTCTTTATGTACAACGCAATTTTACATCAACTCATCTCTGAAAGGGTAGGTAGAAGTATACAAATATTACAATTGGCTTTACAAATATGTATAACT